TAGATGTGCGTGAGCCTCGTGGAGTGGAGGCCAGAGGGACCCTGTGCCCGGGCTCCATGCTCCTGCTGCCCCACCCTGGGTCCCCATTGGCACCCTGGCCCCAGGGCACTGCTATGGGCCCTGCGCTGCCACCCAGCTGCTGCATCACTCCTGCCCATTGCTGCTGCCACTCCCTGACCACTGTCACTTCTCCCGGCACTGCCACCACCCTTCCCCTTTCCCTTTTGTGTGCGCACCCACTGCCGCTGCTTCCCACCCACTGCCGCCACTCATCCTACCTGCCGCCACTTGTCCCACATCCATCCATCACTGCCACTCCCCTCTGCCTTTTGCTGCCACCACCGGTGCCTCTTGTCCTCTCTGCCGCTACTCCCCTGTCTGCAGGGCTAGTAGGTGGGAGGGTGGGAGTGCAGGGTGCTCTGCATGGGCAAGGGTGGGAGTACAGTGTGTGCTGCCCCAACAGCAGTGAGTGGGGCTTGGCCCCATGCGAGCACTGCAGGGGCAGCCTGGGGCCATGCTGGATATAATGAATTATATCACCTGTGGGCTGGATGAAACTGCCTTTTAGGATGGATGCGGCCTGAAGGCTTTATTTTGCCCACCCATGAGTTAAAATAACAAGACGGATCTGAAAGCAGTTTAAGTTATCGGGCTGAAGGTGTTTTTATGTAATGAGCTATCTACACAATTTCAAGAACTGTATCCTAATGAATCTTCTAAAATGAAAGGCCAAGGTCATTATAACAAAAATAAAGGTATCACTGCTGAGATTGTGTCCTTCCTCATACTTGTAATCATCTGGCTCCACAATAAATAAATTGCACTAATTTTTCAAGGGTTTCTTGAGAGGCTACATAGTAAATGGAAATTAATCAAAAAGGCCACATTACATGGGGTTCACTAAGCTTGGGTTGAGATCCAGGATAGCAATGACTGTTTAATGTTCTCCAAACTGATCAATGTTCTATAGTGCTTTTAAGCATATTACTGTGTTTAATGACCATCATGTGGAGCAAAAGACCAAAAAAATAAACACTTTCTTTAGGAACTGTGAAAAATGTACACTGGAGAGACTTAGTAGGCAAAGCTGACAGAAAACCAACTTTAAGTTAGATATAGCTTATGTCCCAAAAGATTTTCAAATAAGCAAAGAAGTTTCTGCACAGTATTTATGGTAACACATAAATATGTAATTGATGCTATCTATGTATGCATGCATCCCCTCATCTAACAAACAGCTGTACTGTTTTGCTGTCAATTCTCTTAAACTTAATCCCACACAGAAAAGGCATTTAAAAATAATCTTCACTACTTTATGATACAACCCTAATAACAGTACAAAAGTCTCCATTCATGTTTGGAACAGGTGGGACAAGCTGGTGTGTGTAGGTTCTCATCTGCATTTTTGTACGCATTGCGTAAGATTTTTTCCAAACTCACCACCCCATCCAGCACACCCACAAGCAAGCCCATCACAATATGATGCAGGGTCTGGAGCAGTCTAGAAAAGCCTGGGAAAACCTAGAGGGAGATGCGTTCAGATTTTCAAATTGAAATTTTGTAGGGGGAGGAGGAGGTGGAAAAGGCAATTTAATCAGCAAATGAATCTGAAACAATTTACCACTGCCTAAGGCAGAACCATATGTTAACGTCACTATTTAAATTTGATTAATGTTTTGGTGAAAAAACCCTTTCCCAGCAGTTTATCAGTCTAACGTATTGCTCTTAAGGTGACATATTCCAGATAGTCTTCTGAATCAACACAAATCCCAAAGGCTACTTGAATTAAACCTGGAAGTACATATTGTATGATGATTTTAAACACCTGTAATTCCATGGTTGTCCATAGGGTTGGGTGAAAAGTAAATTACCATGGAATTTGGGCTCAAGTCTTTATCATTAGAAGAGTTTCCATTATGCATATTAATCACTTAGGGTGCCTATAGATGTGCTGGGAGGCTGTTCTGACACACTGTAATTACAGTGCATTGGAGGAGGCTTGATTAATTGAGTAAAGCTAGCTACATTAATTCTACATCTGTTGAGTATACTATTTATGATAAAGCACCACCTAGAGTACTGCTGCCAATCTCCACTTCATTTGCTTTGCCTTATCCACTGCTTCCTGCTTAAAACAGATGTGCTCAAGTACTCAAGACAGACCATTCACTACTGAGCGGTTGGCCTACAAAAAGACTTGATTAATTGAGTCTGCTGGAGTGTGGTACTACCATGCTCTAGCCAGCCTCCATGGTTCATGTATCAGTGTCCCTGCACTTCAAAATAGTGGCAGGGACACTTTAGTTAAAGTGCTCCACCCACCATATTGAAGCATGGGGACAAGACACTGCAGTGCTTTAATTGGGGTGGATCTCAGAGAAGCTCTAATAAAAGGTCCCCTCGACTCCAGAGCACATGTAATAACACCCTTAGTGTCCAGTTAAATGTACAGAAACTTACTTCACTAAGTAATAAACAGAATTATTTTAACATAAATAACACTCTAATATGAAAAATTCTGTTCTGGACCAATTATCCATGTACAGTAAAATCGCTGTGATCCAGCATCCTTGGGGTAAAGGGATTACCAGTTATGTAAAAGTTCTGGTTATCCAAAAACCCTTGGCAGGGAATTTGAGATAATGCGGAGCAGGGGAGCGGGGTGGCGGCTACATGCGAAGCGGGGTGGGGGGTGTGGTGTGGCAGTGGCTGCCTGCAGAGAAGCAGCAGCACAGGGTGGTGGGTA